CCCTCAGAGTTTGCACTAATTGGAATTCTCTACCACTCCACGTTGTTTCTGCGCCCACAGTTGGTTCCTTCAAGCCCAAACTGGATGAAGCTTTGAGAAGTCTTAAATTTCAACATCCATAGTAGTGCACGAAACAAGGATAAATTGTGACATTCCTCAACTTTCTACGAAACGTGAATCGATTCATCTGTGCTGAACTAAATAGGAATAGAAAAGTAAACGCTTGTAAGTATTTCCCACAATAAAACTTTTGACTTTGACTGATATTACCAAGTCGTCTCAACATACACTGTCCCATATGATCACGGACAACTGCGAAGATAGACATCGAAAGCCTTACCGAGATCTTCCAATGGTTCCGCAAGATTTGGTCGTATCTACGTGGGGCGTGGAATATTATTAATGTCGAGCAATTGCACGTAGCCCCAAACTGAGAAGAACCAGTGTTAAAATATCTGTGCCGGTAACCTACTTCAAATTCCATCACCAATCCAACTTCAACAAACATGTATTCTCGTGGACACCTAGTCTGGACTCGGAAAGGAAGGTCAATGTCGATATTTTTCGGTAATCTAAAAAGCACGAAATGATGCGGTTATGAATTATATTATTATATTATTATTATTATAAGTCGATTGAGGTCATCGATATACTCATTACCCGAAAGAACCCCACCCTCGCCACTGCACCTTACTCTTGTCTTTGTATTATGTGACAGTCCTTCGATTGACTGTTTCCCCCTCTTGAAAAATTGATTGTACAATTATCCAATTGATAAAAAGTGAAGTAAATAACGACACAAAAGATATTATTGTGGACAATGTGTCCAGTTCAAAAACCAGGACGCGAGAATCGGACTACAAAAAACTGGAAGAGGGACGTACAACAAAACAAAGTGACGTTGAAGGAAATCACAACTGGTTTCGAACGAGCTGCTTGGCTTAATCTGTTTCGGAAGACCACCAGAAGTGTTGATATATTTATCTCAATAGGATAAGACGCCGAGAGGTACTCGAAGCCATCTCAATGAGCAGTACTTCAACACTAGAATATACGCCGAGAAGAAAATGCTGGGATGACAGATGATATGTGAAAATCAAAGCTCATAAGACAAAAGTCTGATGAATCTCAGCATCACCCTTATGTGGTCTCTCGCTAGCCCGATGCCCTACTGTACTTCGGAACCGACTGGTCCATTGTTCGTCATCCGTCTTACAAGGCTAAGCTATTTGGAAAACTCAAAGAGTGGCCCCTCTGATTCCCATAATCCGACTGTACTGCAGACAAACCGCACTTTGTGAGTATCACATGAACTCGAAAGTACACATAAATCCATGGGCATCGAACTAGAAAAAGTACATATCGGTCTGATTCTATGAGTGATCTCATAGTCGGCTTTCATGCAACAGTAGACTGTCTCCCCAAAAAGTACATATTTGTTTGCCTTGGTTGAAATTCCGAACTGACGGTATGAATCCGGAGACCATAGGCCGTGTTTGAAGGTTTTTTGATGAAGTGCATACCGAGTATGTGACTTAGAAAATCGTTGATGGGTTATTCAGTACAAATGTCACTGATACACTATTTGTCCTGTAGCACAGAATAGTAGTAGTAAAAAAATGTTCACATTCAGTACCTGAAGGATACAGTGATTGCTTAGTATTAGCATAAGTGATGTTATTGTGCCAGAAAACAGAAACCACTTTTATTAACTAGGCCCGGAATTCGAGGGAGGATGCAATTCCCCAGTTGTTGAGGGAACGTGATCACAATCAGAATGACCCGGAAACCGAGGTGAGAGTGCTGACCGGGTTGACGCACGATGAACAGCGTATTCAAGCCTGGTAATTAAGGTTTTCTCTTGTGATGAAAGCCCTGTTCCCCAAATCTAAGCTCAATGACCTACTTTAATTTGGCTGTCAAAAAATCTAGTTTGAATATTCATTGCATCCAATTTTTTTCATTTATTGGGCTTTTAGTGAGACAAAACCGCCATAGGGTGATTTCTGAGTTGAAAGTAGAGATCAAATCACATTTGGCTCAAATGAACGGTTTGATGGACGATTCCGTTAAAGATGAAACCAGCTGTGAAACTCGTAGCTCACCAGATTAATCACCAATGAACTGTAAAAAGGAGGTCTAGAGACTGTTCGGGATGCGATAGACTCCAATTCCAGAGAGAGTTTTTAAATGCATTTTGTATGCTCTTAGTGAAAGTTTTCAACCGTATGTGGACATTTCACACAAGCTGCGTTTGCATTTACTTGAAGAATTTATTTTCCGACAGGAAAGAAAGCGATGCTTCACGTTCTTTGAATCAGGCATACCCCTCGTGTTCTCATAATTTATACAGACAACCTTCGGACAGATTTCAAGGGGAAAAGATAACATCGAGCTACACTGTCGCTAAACTGACGCTCTTAACCATAGGTCCTATGAAAACAATGAACATGAATTTTCCCGTCGAATTCCGAAACAAACAAATAGACAGACGCGGACACACTCTCCAGAGAACACGTATGAGTGAAAACGAATCAGGAGAGAAGTAGTGATGATTCGATCGATTATTCTACCAATCTCGGTTACCCGTGGTCAGGTCATGTGATGTAACAACACACGAATACACTGTCTGACGAGGGGGTATCGATTGACAAGGCGAATGGCATACGCTATCAGTGTCAAACTGTATTTGTGTGTCACAGGCAGAATCAAACACAAAGTAAACAAACACTCAAGGGGAAAGCAATCAGCTGCGAAACGGGACGGAGATGGCAGTGATTTAAGTACCGCATAGAATGTCGCANAAGCACAAACACACCAGCACGTTTTTTACTCCGCTTCTAGGTATTGATGAACGAGTAACAAGAGGGAAATGTGCACAATACTACTTACTCCATTATAGAATGCGATCGCAATCACGCCCCCTCCCTATTCAGCATAAACTCTCGGAATAAGCAGTCAGGATTGGCCAACAGCTCAGCTGAAAGGTTTGACTATTTGAGGGGATTAGCTTTTTCGTAGCGGGATGCAGGCGAGAGTCAAACGATAATGTTCATTAAAATAACGTTACGAAAAGATGGGAAAGAGGGAAGAGGAGTGATAATCCTAAGATTACAGACCACAACTCTGTGAACAGTATGAGCGAGCTGCCCAATCATAAGGGGGAAAACTGTTTGCTTGTGGGAATCACGAAATTTATTACGACGGATTTCAGGTGGTGGATCATATTAACCTTCCACAGGATAGATTTGGTATTGAACCAGATTACAGTGTGCTATCT